GTCTAATGGATCGGGTTCTAATGTTGATGCTTCGCCTGCCAATTTTTTAAGTTTAAGAATTTGCTGTTCTTTTTCGCTTAAAGGTTTTTGATATGTAGTAATATTAGCTAATATCACAACAACACCATAGAACAAAGTATTACTTGTCTTTTCAGAATCTTTAACAAATGTGAATAGTCTTTTCAACAAGGTTGGATGGTACGTGATCATCTCTTTAACCTTGGGTTTCATGCTAGCATAAGTTAATCCCTCAACAGCATTCAATCTTACCGAAATATCCGACTCGTCGTTCAAAACCATCTTTTGAAATAACTCTGTAAGTTGTACGCTATCCCCGGCAACTTGATCAACAGCTTTTGAGGTTTTTTCATCCAATAGAATCTTGGTTAAAGTAACAGCCGCGGCAGCTTTAAGCTTTTCATTCTTGTTCGTCGTCATTACCGTCGAAAGATAATCATGACAATGAGTAGCCACCAACGCACGACAAGCCTTTTGCGAACATGCATGTGACAACACGTCAGCAATGGCAATCTGAACTTGCTCAGTTTCAAATTCTACACAATCCATTGTTTCTTCGACAAGACCATCTTGGGATAGTATCGAGGCACCAATTTCATTGTTTGCTTGGAGAACAGCAGATAATGCAGAATATGAGCATAATTTGTCTTGTTGCTCGGTTGATTCTAGCCATTTACGTATTAGTTTCGAGGAGATTTGCGTGAATAGTTCTTTGACATTTGCATTCTCACAAAGTTTTGTTAAGATTACGAGAGAAATAGGTTTTATAGACTCCTTGCCAGAATAGCCAAATGCACGCAATAATTGTACAAATTTCTCAGATTTGATAAATTCTATAGAAACAGTATTGTCCTTGTCTTCTACTATACTCTTCAAAAGGGTGTTCAGCTCCTGCGTAGACAAGTCGACCGATTCCATGTCAATGTCGGCAAAGAAACAACTTTTAGACACGTGAATGATATGTTGTTCTAACTTCTTTGTTGCACGTAAATCTCAACATAGGTATTATTTCTCTGGTGGATATGTCGAGAAACTAAACTGGGCAATTCACGATCACTTTGTTGTTCAGCCAATCTATCTCTCTTGTGTGAACAATCTAAAAAGAATAGACTTTCCCTTAGTTTTTTTTTTAAAAAAAAAAAATGGCAAACACTACCAAAAACCCTAATAATGGAGCTACCAACCCCACTAATCTAAAAGTAGAAAAAAGGTATGCTTATTATAATGCCAGCTTTACAAACGTTTCCTTATAAATCTTAACCGAGTTTGCGCTAAATACAGTAAACAAGAGTTTCTAGGACGGGTGCGTCATCGACATACACCGCATCCCCCGCCTTCTTCATTAAAAGGACTAGACATGCCCGCAAGACTAGAACCTTGTTCTTTAGTTGGACGCGGAATAAAACTCATGGATGACGTTCCGATGTCTTTATTAACCGATAATTTCATGGGAATGAATTTGGATTTGAGTAGTATGCCGGGCGCTTTTTTGGAAGATGATGATGGTATTTTTTCTTTCATTCATTTCTGATATGAATACATCTCAAGAAATGCATACATAAGCATTCGATTAATCAAAAAATTTCTTTTAATTTCCTAGTTCTTAATCCTCGCTTGTTAGAATACAATGAAATCGACCAAAGAGATATGTTTATGCTTATGAATGTCAAGGATGACTCAATAAAGTATCTTGGATCGAATGGTCTAATGACGAGAAAAGATCCATCTACTGCTAGCTGGCTTCGTAGAACACAATACATCAGTTCTGAACCGATTAACGTCAAGAGCGAGAAGAGCAAATTTGTGGATTTGTATGTTAAATAATTGTTTACTTTCAAACATTCGAAGCGAATTATTGTATTTATATTAAATATATTGTTTTAGCGTGGACAAAGCGTTATTAAGACAACAGCCTGAAAATAAAGTCGAGTCAATACTTGAATCATTCGAAGCAGCAAATGATCCTATTCGTCGAGAAAACTTGACACATCCCACGAAACCTAATGTCAAAGCGGAAAGCTTTATCGAAGTCTTTCCGAAATTTGACACTTGGAGTGAAGTGTACACGATGTGTACCTTTGACGGTGATCCGTACGATGGCGTCGAATTTGAAGAAAGTCTTAATGATGTATGTGAATTTCTTTATTAACTATTTTGAATTTATGTGATCGATTTTCGATTAGACATATCGTCACGTATTTGAATACTCGAATGTTTAATAGCCAGAAATAAAAAAGGAAAGACTTGACAAATCCATCCTGAAACCAGTCGATCATGCGAATGAACCTTTCTTAAGTTATTATCTTCCAGCAAAAGAAGAAGTGGATCGGCTAAGAACCGGTACACTATTTGAACATGAAGAAGAGGTTCGTTTCACTTTATTTCCTGGATCTTTCTGCATAATATTATCGCTAAGCATTTAGATTAATCTTCTATCTGATTATTTAGTCATACGAATATACTTGGATACGTGACTACAGTTTCGAAGCGGGAAGTGTATCCAAAAATAATTCAATATTACTCTTTTTCAATAAGGATGACTTGGGAGAAGGTGGCGAATACCAAGAGCGAGAGCAAAAAGACAGAGAAGATTATGACGAAAAAATTGCTCGATATCATTTATTAGAGAGGCGATTACTTTTAAGAAAGAAAAGGCGACAGGTATATTTTTCGTAGCATTGATTGCTTAATTATTTATTTATATATATTGACTATTCATTCCTATTACTATTATTGTTGTTGTTGTTGTTGTTGTTGTTGTTGTTGTTGTTACTGTTAGCCATATCAACATTCAAAAGTACCTGACGATTACGACATACCAAAATCAATCCGTATATTGTACACCGGAGAAACAGTAGAAAATATTGATAACAAGAGACGAAAATACGAACATATTGGTCTTGAGGAAGATGAAATTGAAGAGCACCTGACTAGACTTCAAGCGGAGTAAGAGTGAGTGTTCAATAATGATCAGCAATCATAGCGATAAAGTAAGTATGACACATTTGATTGAGTGTTTGATATCTATTTTATGGATTGCTATTTGAATCCATCTTTTTCAAGCGATGGATACGTGATCTCTTCGTTGTCTACCAGTCAACACTACTCTTATTGCTTAGTATTTGCGCTGATGATAGGGGTAATAATAGGATGATTCATTGTAAAAAAAAAGTTGCATTTAACAATTTAATAAAAGAGATACGCTCTATGTTAGGCTATTACGTGTTCAATTTATATTGTAATATCGTGCATTCTTTGGAAATTACTCTACGAAGTCAGACGTGTATTTATTTATTTATTCATTGATGAGAAACATTCCTCAAGAATTCTCTTGCGCATGATAAGGATCTTCTACTCGCACATAACAGGCTAAAAATTTTTCCCCATTATTACGCTCCACTTTTTTTCCTTCTTCTGTTGATGTACTTACGTGAAATACCACCGGATCTTTATTCTTAAATGGACAGATGTGTTAATCAACTAATTGCAATATCGATTTTAAATACTAATCGGGACGAAATAAATTATGCTTACAGTTTCTTCATCAGGTATCCGTTGAAATAACGGGTGCTCATTTAAATGTCTCACCATCCATTCATGTAAATCTTTGACATCAGTTATTGTGTATATTATCCCACCAACACGAAGCACATACGCGTATTCAGCTAAAAGCTGTGTTCTATTAAAGAATAGAAACTCGAATGAAACGCTTTTTTTTTTGAAGAAAAGTCAATAATTAGCTTACGTGATGATCCGTGCTTTGTGTTTACGCGTTTTGAAATGTGGGTCTGGAAATAAGAAAAACATTTTTGATAACTTTTGTATACAATCCGTAATATAAAGTGTGTACGTTGTACACAAAATTAAGATTAGTTCAATAATAAATTTTCGTCACGATTAGTCAGATAATATTCACTCACTTGTCCTTTCTCAAAAAAATTCGGTAAAAACTTCATCGCGTTCATTCGCATAATTGAAATATTTTGATATTGTCCAGGATGTTGTAAGCGTAATGCACGAATTTTTTCACGAACATATTCTTCTACTTTCACTCTTATCTCCATTCCTAAATCAAAAAAAAATAAAATAAAATAAAAACGAAAATTATCAACATCCCAGAATGCAGATAAAAAAACAATAATAATAATAATGAGAAATGGGAAGTTACTAACTAATTAATTACATTACCCAACATTAACGTATCAGGATATAAAGTAGATAATGCGACCAATAATCCACCGTATCCACATCCAAGATCAGCAAATTCTACTCTTCGTTGTGCTTTTATCGGAGACTCAGAAATAGAAATTGTTTGTTTCGTCTCTTCCTGAACAGAAGACGACGTAGACTCTTCAGCGTGGATTGGAGTTTGAGACTTAAAGAAGGCGGGATAATGTAACGACCAGTCTATATGAGCGGGACTTTTTGGACTATTTTTTCGAAATATATAATTAGTAAACCTTTTTTTAAAACAATCAAAAGAAAAAAAATTCGCAAATTTGAGACGTCTACTAGTCAAGATGGTGGTCCGAAAACGGGTTAGCATGAGCACGTTGGCGAAAGTAGCGTTTCTACAAGTCGAGCCAAGCAAGTCAGCCTTTAACAAAATACCTAAAATTCTTGTCCCGACAGTTCTTTCAATTCCTTTCTACAGTACAAAATAACTACAAGAATGGCCCAAATATTTTTAATATTACATACCTGAGGTAGTTTCAAGGACATTTTTATATAAAGAATAAGCTTTCGACTCGAAGTGAACTTTTTTTAAATACGCGAAAGTCGTGGTGCATGTAGATGATGGATCAACATGATCATGCAAAAAAAAATTTGATACGTCATCAAAGATTTTGATTTTTCTTTTTAGAAAAAGCGAAATATAATTTCCTCACTTTTCACCTCGGAATCTTCAATCGAAAATGGTATGTTTGTTGTATCAAGTTCTAACAAGAAATGCGTAAGGAATTATCATACAGTCGATAATATCATCAATTTGCAATTCGAAAATGAGACAATTTTGATGGATGAGTTGCTGTTTTAAGAAATCTTTGAATTGATGAATCGAAAAATTATTCGCGTCATTATATTCAACTCTATTAACGAAATTATGTAATTTTAGGGTATTGACATCAAAAAACATCATGTCCGAAACAGGAACAGGACAGAACCAAAAAGTCAAGATGTATACCTCCGATTGTTGGTGAAGGTGAGATTTTTAACTTTATTTTCGTAAAGTGGGTGAATAACTTGAGGCAATCTCTGAGCAAATAGGAACTTGATGTTTTTCTACTATTCAATCATTTCATCTTCTATCAATAATTTTCTCTATTGACTCTCTAAATATGCAAATTTAATTAAAGGATTCATCATCATCATCATCATCATATTAATATTTTACAATTGAAATTGGATAGCTATATCGGTTCTTGGCCCGTCGCACAGATTCTAGCTTTAACAAAGTAGTTTTAAAGCGACTATTCATGTCAAGAGTAAATCGCCCACCAATTTCTATCTCACGTATTGTACGTAATTTACGCAACAATCCCGACAAAATTGCCGTCGTAATTGGTACAGTAACAGACGACAATCGTCTGTTGGAGGTCCCAAAATTGTCGGTTGCCGCACTTCGTGTGACAAAAACGGCAAAAGCTAGAATTTTACAGGCTGGTGGCGAGATTCTTACTTTTGATCAGTTGGCGTTGCGTGCTCCCACCGGATCCAATACCATTTTGCTAAGAGGTCCTAAAAATTCGCGTGAGGCAGTTAAACATTTTGGAATGGGTCCGCATAAACATAAAAAGTAGGAATTTCTTTCTCTCTTAATGATTTCTCGACGGTATTGAAAAATTTATTGATTTTATTTTCCGGCATATATTATTAGACCATATGTGCGCTCTAAAGGAAGAAAATTCGAAAAGGCTCGTGGTCGCCGAGCATCTCGAGGCTTCAAAGTGTAACAATCTTTATACAATTTATTTCCATTTGCTTAGAAATATCATGAGTGATAGTAATATTTTTAAACAAACATCTTGTTAAAATTGAGAACAAAATCGTAAAAACTTAAAATATTATTATTCAAGACATTTGCCCAGATGATTGATATTGAGTGACACAATGAGAAAAAAATCTTTCTACAATCTAGTTAGTTGACTAAAACAAATGTTTTAAATTAAATAAACCAATATAATCATCAACGCAGTCCCACCACTCGTTGAACCTCCCTCAAACTTTGTTCGGCAATTACTCGCGCACTTTCCGCACCCTCATCTAACACTTTTTCAATGTATCCCATCTCATTTTCCAATCGTTCAATCTCCTTCTGTATTGGAACCAATCGTGCCACAATAATTGCTGTTAATGCATCTTTAAAATGCACAATATCGCTGTCTTTATGTTCGGCGATCACATCCTCTATCGTCGTCGAGTTTCCTTTGGCTGCCGCGTATATAGAAATCAGATTCGAAATCGCCGGTCTTTCGGTCGGATCGTAAGAAATTCCTTTAAAAGAATCGGTGGTGCATTTCTTTACTTTTAGAGCGATTTCAGCGGGCGAGTCTGTGAGATTTATGCGGTTGTAATCGGATGTGTCGGATTTTGACATTTTTTGAGTGGGTTGGCGGAGAGACATTATTCGACTTCCAGATACTTTTTAATAGAGAATCTTATTATTTGATGATGATAATGAAGAAAAATCATGGGAAGAAAAATCATACCTAAGATCGGTTTAGGTAATGGAAATATTGGATGAAAAGCTTTGTTGAATTTTTTTGCAATATTTCTTGCAAGTTCTAAATGTTGCATTTGATCATCACCGACAGGAACATGGGTTGCTCTTTAGTAATTGAGTAGTAGTGTTATAGAAAGTAAGCAGCCTCATTAGCATTTGAACATGTAGTAGCGTTAACCAATTCTCTACGAACTTGTACAGCATGATATCGGCAGCTTGCAATACAGGATAACTAAATAATCCTAAACAGAGTCCAGTTGTAGATTCAATATCTTGAGGTGATTTGACATTTTTGTCCAAATGTAATTTTGACTTTGTTTAATGTACAAATTAATTTTCTTTTTCCTCTCTATAAAAACTCCAAATAATTCAGACGGATGTGTCAAGATAAATATTCACCTTCCAATGTGTCATCCTTGTTAATTCCCCAAAAGGTGTTATACAATTCAGAATCCACGCTAGTTCAGCATGTTCCGGTACCTTTCCTTAACAGAATGCACAGATTTTTTTCAATTAGAAAATAGAAATTCAGCCGACAAACAGAAATTACATACTTTTGATTGCTCAAAAATCACACTTTTTCGAGGATCGATCCCGCACGCAATCAATATTGTCGCCATTTTTTTCTTGCTTCCTCTTAGTATATCAGGATCCTGTGGTAAGGTTAACGCGTGCAAGTCTACAATCGAATATAGGTTTTTTTTTCTTGTTGTATCCGTGCCTTGCAACGAGACCCAATTGGATATTGCACCGAGGTAATTTCCTAAATGTGGAATTCCGGTTGGTTGTATGCCAGAGAATATTAATTCTTGATATGCAGGTTCTTGGTTAAAAGTAGTGGTGGTATTTGGGGTGGTGGTTGCTGTTGTATAATGTAACTGCGAGTTTTCAAAGATACCAGTATCATTTAGTATGCCCGTTTATGCATTTGAGATGTTACGGAAACGATAGATATTATACCTTATCCGGAAATGTCTTTGGCAAATAAAACCTTTTACTAGCAAAAAAAGCGTGTAAAGCCTTCATGTTTAGCTATCGAAACATTCGCGTTCTTGGATCATTTTTATATCATAACATGACTAATAATGAGTAATTTGATCAAACATCTACTCGGGAAATTTGAAGATCAATGCTCAATGCTATATCCTTGGTGAAAGTTCTCTTATCAACTGAATGTCCCAGCATGATAACGCGTGGTTTCACGGTTTTCCACCGATACTTATCATCGTCGGTGATGGAGAAGGCCACAACAACGGGTACTATGAATAGTTCTACTATTATGCGTTGGGTGTCTGTTTCTGGGAAGATCTTTTGTCATGACATGGTGTGTTAGCAGCACTAGGAAAGAGAGAGAGAGAGAGAGAGAGAGAGAGAGAGAGAGAGAGAGAGAGAGAGAGAGAGAGAGAGAGAGAGAGAGAGAG